GTCTGTGTTGAAACCCATCCTATTCTCATTCGCCCACCCTTGTAACCTGTCTAGGTCAGATTGTAGCCTGTTGCTTCCTTCTAGTATGCCCACATTCCCCCCACATCTTAGTGTCATCAGCAAATTTGAACAGGGTGCTTTTTACCCCCTCGTCCAAATCACTGATGAAGATGTTGAACAGTGCAGGCCCAAGGACCGAGCCCTGCAGAACCCCACTGCCCACGTCCTTCCAGGTTGAGAAGGACCCATCCACTACCACCCTCTGGTTGCGGCCCTCCAGCCAGTTAGCGACCCATTTGACTGTGTGGGTGTCTACTTTTACTATCTTCTGCCAGAGATAATCAAACCACCTATATTTAAAATGGCTTTAATGTCCCTAGGATCATTCAAATAAAATTATGATTTGTTCACAATAATTTAATTATTACCCTCTGGAAAATGATGTCATTTGTGCATGGATAGGATGGGCCTTGTGGTTAAGGCTCTGAGGCCAACTCAGGCAATCTGGGTTCAGTTTCTGGCTATTCTGCAGGTCCCTTTTGCAACCTGGGATAGTGTTTTGTGATTTGTCCATGTCTAAGGAGGGTAATAATCTCCCTCTTCTGTTCTCTCCTCCTTTGTCTGATCTCCCAGCTTAATGTTAGCTCTTCAGGGCAGAGACTAGCACCCCTTGCAGAATAAGGCCCTGATGTCAGTGGAGACTGTCACCATATGAATAACAGATAACAATATTGAATTGCAGGTAACAGGATCATGAACTGTAAACATTAATGAAAACATGAGCAGCATTCATGTTTGCAAGTTTGCAAACCGTTGTTGTTGTGTTTATTAAAATAGCTCCTTGAGAGCCCGCCTGACGCCAGGTGTTTGTTATTTGTTGTGCACTTCTGGGCTCTTCCTAGGCATTCCCAGAATCCCTCTGTCACTACATAATCACAGGTGAAGCATACATTAATTTACCAATAAATTGTGGTAGCAAATAACCAGCCTTCTCCACAAGAGGGAATCATAGTTCAGGTTGTAAATGTATGTCTGTATAGTAACTACTTCTACATAGGAAGAGAGAAAGGTGCAGTTAGTCCTGTCTTCACTTTATGCCCAACTGATGGAGTTAGGATCTGTTGTGATACTTGCATTGCCGCCTCAGAGGGATTGGGCACTTGCACTGCTTTTGACATTTTAGAGACCCCTCTGGGATAAGGATGGAGCAAGCCATAGTCTCTGTGCTTTCCAAAAGAGCTGCCCTGTTTTGTTGGTAGAACGCCTGAGACAACCTGTACAAATGTGTAACAGAAGACTCCTCAGTGTGCACTCCAGAGTAGTAATCTTCTTTAGGGTGTTACCAGATTTGCCCATCACTTTGGGGTGTGCTCATTAGGGATACATTTCTAGGGTCTTGGTAATTCTATCAATGTGCTACTTGTGTTACTTGTGTTTCTATATGGAGCTGTATATCTCCCTTCTGCAAGTCCTCATCCCCAGTGGAGATATCTTGCAGGACTCAGTTTCAAGGGGCTGGATTCCTCCAGTCACCAAGTCAGTCATACACACACAAACACACAGAATAACATGACTCGCCTGACCCCGCCGGGTTGATCAGGGTGACAGGTTGACACCCTCATATGCCAATAATTATTCATCAAAGCAACAATAAACTGCAGTCAGACACAAGCACACATTTAAACAGAATACCTCTGAATCTGGCTGGGTGTCCAGATGACACCCTCATGGGCCAGCATTCAGTTCATTAGGGCACATTTGAGTCAAACTGGATCAATCAGCCTGTACAAGCTGATCCCCTTAT